GCACGGTCATTGTGACGCTCGACGAGTGGAGCACTCGGACTCGTTATGCAACACGGTTGTGTGAGGTCAAGATGATGCCGCCGGGCTGCCGAGCTCCCACTAATGTAGTCTGCCGGTTTGGTTAGGTGGTGATTACTGGATTTGTGCTGACAGATGGAAGAGCAGCTCTACGTGTTAAGAGGCTAATGGGAGCTGATTTGAGCGCAGAAAGTATATAAACATGACAGTGCCCCCCATGCTGGGCATGGAACATCTTCTGGTGAGAACAACTTAAACACAAAACTCTATCCTCTCTCTAAATCCCTCAGCATGTGCTAACTTGACCGTCAGAGGGGTTTTCCTGCCACACACCGCCGGGTAGCTCACCGCCATTATGTTCACAGGTCGATCGAATAGATAAGGAGCTTGGACGAAAAGAGTACGGGCTCCGCGGAATATTTGCTCCCCGTACAGACGCCATCATAAAAATTACTTTATTTAAAAATAGTTTATCAAAATTTTAAATTTTCGCAAAATTATTATTTTGGTTTTATTTTTTTAAATTTTGACTATTTTTAAAAAAATTAAATTTTCTTTTAATCTTAAAATAAAAAAAAATAAAAAGTAAAAAGAAGATGAAAAGACAAAAGAGAGAAATTACGAATCAGTGCCGATTTTTAAAATAAATTTTAAATTAATGATAAAACTTATCAACTTTAATAATTAAAATTAGGAAAAAGGTCAGAATACCTTTTTGGTAAGGCTGGACATAAGGTTATCCGAACCGCATAACTTGTCCAACCATAATCAATTCGAATACAAATGGGCGGTTTCATAAATACAATGTGGGTGGATGCAGTTTGAGATATGGCATGATTGCGGGTTACGGGTTTAACCCGCACCCGTAAGAACCCACCCACAGTTAGATTTTTTTTTAATTTTATTTTATAACCTGGACCATTGTTATTTTATTATTGCATTTTGGATAAATATAAAAGTTAATGAAGAATTACTTTTAGGTAAGCTTAAGATTTTGAATGATTTTACTTTAATTATATTGTTGGGTAGTAGATAGTTGTGACACCCCAAATTTTTGGAACATCAAGGGAAATTAAATAGACAAAATGACTTAATAAATCAAAAAATTGACATCTTAATTGGACATTCCAACTCTCGTACATAACCAAAGGTTCAATCAATAATAAATAAAAACTTAAAATTTTCCAAATACAACATCAAATGAAATTATAAAGTCCTTAATAGCTATTATATAAAATAATAAAATTTATTCGGCTCTAATCAGGGTTTTAAGTTAGCCAAAACTCTACGTTAGCGTCAACTCTATTTCAGCTTCAATTATTTCCTTGCAAAAACCTGGCCTAAAACGCCAGGGCAACAAAAATATATGCCATGTGTTTTGCAACACAATAAGAAAACATAAACAACCTACCATTCTTTTTAAGAGAAAAATAATGAGATTATAAACATGAGATAACAATATAATTGTAAACATAAATTACAATCATTAAAATAATTTCAATAATTCTAATAAATTAGGTGACACTAGAAATCTCACCAAAGAGATTTAACTTACCAACCACTAAGCATGGCAACGGTTAATTTGAAACTCCCCATTGGTCAAATATTCAAGTGTTACCAACCGTAACTACCAGGGATGCTCACGTTCGGAGTTATACACCTAAGTAATGGCATCCATGGTCTGCCCCAAGGAAACGGTTTGCCAGAAGTACGTAACCTTCCTGTGTGCCACCTGCACATCCACCCTTATTCCAAATCCGAATACCGAAAAAGGTTCAAATAAGTTCCGTGCCATCTTAGGGTTTTGCGAGACAATTTACGTGAGAATTCTCAAAACCAGGGCTCACCTTGAATAACCGGTATTAACCGTCAACCCTTAATTTCGTACACTCTTTAAAACCAAGACTCACCATGAACAGCTGATATTAACTGTCAATTGTTAACTTTGTATATGTCGTTAATCATTTCAGTTAGTTTTGATATTAATCACAAATAAATATTACACATGTCACACAATAATAAATATTGTACAGAATTTAAATGAACAATTTATTTAAACCATGGTATGAAATAATAATTTAGATACAAAGAAAATAAATCATAACCACACACATGCATGGATTTTTAATTTACAAGATTAAACTACCACAATATTAAATAAACCACAATACACCCATACATAGATTACTAATTTACAATATTTAATGAATTAGACCAACACAATAATTAATTTTTTTATCCAAATAATTAATTGAAGTAATGATCCTAAACTTGCCAAGAAATTTTCCAGATACACCTTAGGTAATAAAAATTATAAATAAATTATTTATACAATTCTGAAATTCATAAAAATATACAGAATATTCAATAAATATGTTTAGGTCATTTTACAGAAATAAGTTTCCAAAAATAAGTTACAAATAATTCTGTAAAATTCCCAAAAATTTCATGACACAGATTTATCACATTTTCTTAAATAAATTCCACAATTAAATTTATAAATCAAATCCATAATGTAAAAATTTATTATGAAACTAGACTTATCAAACTTCATCTTTTAGTTAGAAATTACCAGATTTGGATTAATATAGAATTTTTAATAAATTTTCAAACATTTAGTAAAACATGTCTTACAGTTTCAGATTTAATTAAAAATTTGTATAAATTCATACAAAGCTCAATAATTGTTGCAAAAATTCCTGGATAAACTAGATATCATTCCCAAAAACTTTGTAGAAGAAGTCATCTTCAAATTTTGAGTATAAAATTGTCTAAAAATTCGTAAAATTTTTTTGACAGATTTAAGGGCCAAATAAAATCTTCAATAATCGTTTTAATGGCATAAACTACACATGCAAGTCTAAATTTTACAATATTATCATGAATTTAAGACTACCAATATCTTTAAATATTTGATATACAAATCATAAATTTACATACAACTGTAAATACAATTCTATTTACAAGTTTCGTCATTTTATCATATAAATATAATCTGAAAGTTTCAACATTTAAAAAAAAAAATGAGAGGGTTGAGAGAGTTTTCTTACTTAATAATAGGATCATGAAATGATAGAAAATTTTAGCTTCCTTAATCTCTCACTCTTCTTCTTCTCCTACTGCTTTGTTGCTCACAGAGTTTTATTTTTTCACATTTCCTCGTTGAATGCAAGTATGCATATATATATATACACAATGTATTGCTGAGGCTCTCTCTCTCTCTCTCTCTCTCTTCTCTAGTCATTCTGTGGAATCTAATCAAATTTTGCAAGTCCAAGGCACATAATTGGGTCTCATCTCCTATATTGCATGCAAGCAAACAAGTGGCAATGTTGCCACCAAAAAAATCTGCCAAAGCTTCTTTCTTTTTTTTTATGTATTTGTGTGGGTTTCTTAAAATTGATACACTAAGATTTTTAACTAAGATATTTAGTAAGAATAATTATCATATTGAATCCTTATTAAAATAATTTATAAACAATAAATATTAAATATCCACAAAATTATTATTCTTAATAATGCCTTTGGTTGAATTGGGTTAATTTAAAACTAACTTTTACACTAATATATATTTCAGATAAACTCTGGATAAAGTTAATTAATTGATTTATTTATTTATTTGTTTGTTTATTTATTTATTTTTAGAATAATTAAATGCGGGTTTTCACAATAGTGAATGAGATTAATGATTTACTTTATATTTTTGAAAAATGTATTTGTATTAGTTTATGATTTGATTAAAAAATTTAGGATTTTGAATAATTTGTTTGTGTTAGGAATTGATTTTATTGTGTTTTTAATTTTATAAGTTTTAATTCATTAATTATTAATGTTGGAGTATTTTAGAAAATTGGAGAGAAAATGATCTAAAATAAATATTTACAAAATGAGAAAAAAAAGGTTCCAAAATAAATTTTTAAAGAAAAAAGTCAAATCCGCAAACCGCCCACACATTCGCGAACCGTATCCACACAAACCGCAACTTGCACTGCTGGCGGTTGTGGGTTGAATTTTTCCCAAACCGCATACATTTAAGTGGGTCCAAACCGATCCGCAAACCGTCCAAAACCGAACTACTACCACTCTTATTTTTTGGGGAACCCCCATCACCCCCAATGCATTGTGATTGGCCAATTTATTTATTTATTTATTTATTTCATCATATCTCTGGTTGACATGCATTTATAAGGATTGTGGAGGTCAAAAAAAAAAAAGTTGTATCATTTCTATTAAAATTATAGGCTCTGTTTGGTACAGCTCTGGAAAATTAATTCCAGGGTTTATTTTGCACATGATGTTTGTTTACGAGTTTTAAAAATTAATTCCACACTCACTTTTGAACACTCGGTTGAAGGCGGAAAAATTTGGACTAACTGAACGTCCCACTAGTCGTCCGGCCGGTTCGCTGGAACAGTGCAAATATATATATAGAACAGTGCAAAATTTTATGTACTTATTTTTTTCAATAGGCACATGTTAATTTTTATATATTCGAAAAATATTTTTCGAATTTTTTAAAAAAATTTATGAGCTTTAATAAAATTTTGAATTGTGTGTTTGGTTATGAGTTGTAAGTTTTTGTATCAAATATCATATATCACATCAAAAATTCCCCACTCAATTCAAAACTCTTTCACAAAACAAATTTCTCACACTCAAATCATAATTTCAAAACTCACAAATTCAAAATATAATTTCTACTCTCAAATTATATTTAGAAAATTCTACCAAATGTTACTATAAATTTTTTCGTAAGTTGTGATTTTTTTGGCCTTACCACTGATATTTTTCCTTTAAAAAACTTCATTAAAAATCCAAAAAATATATATATACTAAAAAAAAAAAGTATTTGTCTACATTTTTATCCATCAACGCATTTTAAATGATTTTTCTTCAACAAAAATAATTTTTTCTTTATTATTTTCTGTTTTTAAATTGATTGATGTTGTTGCTGGTGGAACTTTACGCAATCCCATTATACCAACCCACCACCCAATCTTCATCTTCATCTTCATCTTCATATTCATATCCACAATTTTCCTCTTTGCGTCTTTCTCTATCTACGCTATATATTTGTATCTGCACAACCATTTCTCTGTTGCCTCAATCAAAAAACCAATCCCAGAATGTCCTGCGCATAAATTCCCATCAACGGATCAGGTTTTTACATTCTTTTCTTACTTGGGTTTCGCTTATTTTCTCCCTCTTGTTTTGCTACAAGGAAATTCTGCTTTAGCAATAAAAGAAAATTGTAGTCAGTGATCTGTATAACATTATATACATATATGCATATCCATAAATTTGTCTCTGTTTGGTGGGTCGATCGATGCTAATTTGCCAATGAGAATTTGGGTTATTTAAATTTGATTTCCTTTTTGTTTTGAGGACGTAAATTGAAATGGGTAATATCGGAAGTAGCAGTTTCAATGGTCGCCGGAGGGAAGGAATCCGGCGGAGCCACCCTCCTCCGCCGCCACCACAACCTCCTCACCCCGAAATTTCGGCTAACCGATATGTATTCGCTGCCGCAACCCCTTATCCTGTGCAATACCCAAACCCTAACTCAAACCCTTATTACCATTACCCTGGTTACTACCCACCTCCACCGCCAGCGATGCCGGTGCCGCTCCCTGCACCATATGATCCCCACCACCACCACCACCACCCTCCGCCGCCCTATATGTACACCCTCCGCCGCCACCACAACCTCCTCACCCCGAAATTTCGGCTAACCGATATGTATTCGCCGCCGCAACCCCTTATCCTGTGCAATACCCAAACCCTAACTCGAACCCTTATTACCATTACCCTGGTTACTACCCACCTCCACCGCCGGCGATGCCGGTGCCGCTCCCTGCACCATATGATCCCCACCACCACCACCACCACCCTCCGCCGCCCTATATGTACCCTTGTGGGCCTGTGATGCCTCCCCCTCCACCCTATGTTGAGCATCAGAAGGCGGTGACTATACGAAATGATGTTAATCTCAAGAAGGAAACTTTGAGGATCGAGCCCGATGAGGAGAACCCGGGGAAGTTCCTTGTTGCTTTCACATTTGATGCCACGGTTGCCGGGAGGTATGGGTTTATGGTGAATTTTTTTGTCTTTTCTATGGAAATTTCATTGTATGCTTGCTAGTATTTTTAATTTTGAATCAGTATGCAATTTAGATTGCAGAAGTGCTTCGTTTGATGATGATAATAGAATACTTTTGATTGATTGGAATTTAAATTTACTTGTGATTTAGTGTTCTTTTGAATATCATATGCAGTCTTGTCTTGAATATTTTACATTTGATTGGGAAAGGGGTTGGGCTTAGGCTAGGGGGAGTTGGGGTGAACCTCAAACGCCCAAGTTGGTTGCACATGTTGCCTAATTTTGGGTCCTCTCGTTGCACTACCCTATGTATCCATGGGAAGGATATGGAAAGGATACGGCTAGGGATGGTAATGGAGCTTAATGGGGTGGATATTAATTCTCCATCTTCATTTCTCTATAATTATTTTTCCCATTCTCCATTTCCCATTCTCTATGGGTACTACCCTCCCTATCTCTTGATAGGTTTGAATTTTCCCAACCCAACTTGACCCTTTTTTTTTATTATTTTTTTTATTTTTAAGATTCACAACCAAAACTATATATACATTCAATCTTATTTTATTTTATTTGGCTCAACAACAAAATCAAATATACATTAATTAATATTGTCACATTATTCTTGCCAAGTTTTATGTAAATTTAGAATTTTTTTAATTTATTTAGAAAAATTCTATTCCTACAACAAAATTTCATCTTCTTTTTTAATTTTTTTAATTTTATGTATCTCCTTCTCCTCTCTATTAATTGATCTTCGATAATCTGAAGATGAGTTGTTACTCTCGTTTCCATCTTCTTCTTTTTTTCTTTTTCTTTTTTAATTTTTATTTGCATTTATAGAATGAATTTTCTTGTTCCAATATCTCCTGCAATTGTTTTATTAGATTTTTCTCTGATTTGATGGAAACCTTAGGTTGAATTTCTCAATTTTCATTTTAACTAGTGATCACCTTAATTGAAATTTTGTATATTTTTGTGTTCAATTTCCATGTTTTGGTTATGATTAATCGCGTGTTTTTTATTGATAGTCACAATCTTGTCGCCGCTAGATTGTCACCATCACAATTCGCCGTTGCTGTAATGAGAGGACGAGAGAGAGTGAGAATTAGAACTCTAGTTGTAAATAATGTTACATGGACTCAAGTATGGGTATGTATCCAGAAGTTGGACTCATCAAATTATAAATTTAAGGGTATGCGGATTTGACAAAAAAATGCCATATTTTTATAAATTAATGAAGTATGTGAGATAAAATGGTATTATATGTAACTTACAGTGTCAAAAAGATATTTATAGCAATTATACAACAATATGTACATATAATAATAGTGTTATATACAATTATATAAGAAGTATCTGTTGAAAAGTATCCGACACATATTCCATATCCTTATTAGAGCGTCAGGTATCTGATACGGGTATTTGATTTATTTTGAAAAGTCCGTGTAACATATTGTAAACATAGTAGTGAAAACATATTGAGAAATTATTTTCCGATGTACCTAAAAAAAAAAAAGGTCATATGGGGAAATTAGTGGGTATTTATCCCCGACCTATCCCCAACAGAGATTTAAAAAATATCACTTACCCGATCCGATGGTCAAGAAAAAAGAAAAAAACCCATGTATTTGGGTTAAGTCTCCATGGATACCCACAAAATAGGTTATCTGTTGCCATCCCTAGATACGGCAGGGTCCAAAACATAATTTTGAAATTTTTTAATAAGGGTCAAACTATAAATTTATGAAGTTTAATGCAAGTATGAAAATATTAAACATATGATAATAGTTGAGTACTTATGGAACAATCAGGCAAAGAGAAAAGATGGAACCCTACCTAGCCTATGTAATGACAAAGAAATGAAGAAACAAGCAGTCGTATTGACCTGTGTAGGTCAGTCCTCCTCTCTTCTTTCTGTCTTATGTTCACCAAAATACCCCTCTCTCTCTCTCTCTCTCTCTCTCTCTCTCTCTCTCTCTCATATAATACATGTACTTGTAACATAATTTTTTTTAATATATACTTAGGCCTTGTTTGGCAACTTAATATTTTAGTTTAAAAGTTAAAAAGTCACTAAAAAAAACTAAAAAGCCAACGACATATACAAAAAATTCAAAGATTTCTTTTTTTTCTCTTTTGCATATCTATTTGTAAAAAACTAAAAAATTGCTAAAATAGTATATTTCCAAACGAAATACTAATACTACATTAAATTTTTTTAATTATATTAAAATATACAATATGAATACAATCAAGGTAAAAGATTTATAAATAGCCGTTTTAAAGCCGTGAGCCTTGGCAAAACTGCTTGGGATGGGGGTGCTACAAATAGAGGATATGGCTCCAAGTAACATGAATTCGGTGAGGATTCATTTGAACAATGGATTAAGGTGTCAGAGAATCAATTTTGGGTTTATACCTAGTAGGTCAACAGTTGAAGTGATTTATCTTTTGAGGAGACTAATAGAAAAGTATAGAGAAGAGAAAAGAAAAGAGATATTCATATGGTATTTATCGACCTTGAGAAAGCATATGATAGAGTACCCCGGGATATAATATGGTGGGTGTTAGAGAAGAAAAGGGTGACAAAAGGTTATATTGATGTGATTAGGAATATGTATGAAGGGGTGGTGACCACTATTAGATCGTCTGCTGGAGAGACAAATGAATTTCCTATCATTGTAGGGTTACACCAAGGATCTACCTTAAGTTTTTATCTTTTTGCTTTAGTTATGGACGAGTTGACAAGAATATTCAGGATGACGTGTCATGGTGTATGCTTTTTACAGATGATATTGTGTTAGTGGATGAGACTAGAAAAAGAGTTAATACAAAATTGGAGATTTAGAGAAAAACTCTTGAATCTAAAAGATTCCGGATAAGCAGAACCAAGGCAGAGTACATAGAGTGTAAATTTAGTAACAGTAACATTGAAAGCAGATGAGAAGTGAAGATTAAGAACCAAGAACTGCCTAAGAGTGAACATTTTCGTTATTTAGAGTCGATTATCACAATAGCGGGGGAGATTGATGCGGATGTGGCCCATAAGATTAAGGCGAGATGGTGTAAGTGGAGAAGTACGTCTGAAGTACTGTGCGATAAATGAATACCCACTAGATTAAAAGGTGAGTTCTATAGGACGGCTATTAGACCAGCGATGTTGTATGGGACAGAGTGTTAGGCAACTAAGAAACAACATGTAGATAGGATGAGTGTGGCTGAGATGAGGATGTTTAGGTGGATGTGTGGCAAGACTAGACAAGACAGAATTAGGAATGAGTGTATTCGGGAATGGGTAGGAGTAGTACCGATAGAAGATAAGTTGAGAGAGAATCGATTGAGATGGTTTGATCACATTCAATGAAGACCAATAGAGGCAGTAATGAAGAGATGAGATGCTGTAACGGCAGATGGGATTGTTAGGGGACGGGGTAGGCTTAGATTAACATTGGCTAGCGTTGTAAATAGAGATATAAATCTACTTAATTTGACTAACAAAATGGCCTTCGATAGGGCTGCATGGAGAAGAAGGATTCATATAGCCGACCCCATTTGATCGGACTTAAGGCTTGGTTTGGTTTGGTTACAATGTTGATGAGTTGTTTGCTTTTATAGTAGTCTTTCCTTTGCAATGCTGGCACTCATGTACTCAATGAATATTCTGGCAACATAAAATTAGTAAACTGTAATCTTATGTGGTATATATGGATTATGTGTTCAATGAAATCCTTCTGGTGAACTTGACAACCACTGTATTAGAGTGTTAAGGAGATTATATCAGGATTGATGTATATTTTACCAACATCCCTCACTGCTGTCTTCCTCTTATGAAAAAGCATAGACATCTTCTGTTTCCTTCTTTCCATGTTGTCCTTTTCATTCTTTTCCCATTCCAATGTTGTTTGTTCTATTTAACTGATAGGAAGCTGTGGATAAAACAGCAAGATATGCGGTTGTTTCCTGAGGAGGGATTTGTTCTATTCATTGCTAAATTAATATTTCCTTGAACAAGAATCCTGCTTTCTCATTTAGGTTGAATGTACTACACCCCAATCACAGTATATTTTATTTGATCTTCCAATATTGGTGCTATTTGCTTCAGAAGTTTCCACCCTTCGAGATATCTAGATGCTTTTTTGTAACTTATTGTTTTATTTACTGTGTATACAAGTTCATATTTACTCTGCTAAGTGCATCTTTCTTTGGTAAAACAGTGAAGGTTTACTAAAAATTTTCATTTCTTTTGCTGTCCAAACAGCATCACTGTTATTTTCTTTGCAAAAGAGAGTGAAGATTGTAGCCTTGCTCCAACGAAGGAAAATTTGATTAAACCAGTGACCATGCATTTCGAACAAGGTTTAGGCCAGAAGTTCATACAACCCTCTGGAACTGGGATAGACTTCTCAATGTTTGATGAGACAGAGTTATTGGCGGAGGGTGATATGGAAGTGTATCCTCTAGCAGTGAAGGCAGAGGCATCCCCGGTTAGCCAAAATGAATCGACAGATGAAAACCCAGAGTCTGGACCCACAAACTCACAAATAACTAAGGCAGTGTTTGAGAAGGAGAAAGGTGAATACAAGGTGAGGTTGGTGAAGCAAATCTTATGGGTAAATGGGATGAGGTATGAGTTGCAGGAGATTTATGGGATTGGGAATTCTGTCAATGGTGACTTTGATGGGAATGATTCTGGCAAAGAATGTGTTGTCTGTCTATCGGAACCTCGGGACACAACTGTCCTTCCCTGCCGACACATGGTACTCTCTCTCTCTCTCTCTCTCTCTCTCACACACACACACACACACACACACAAATTTGGTAGGTGTCCCGATTAAGTGAATCATTATTTGCCTATATTGAGTGAGTTCAGTATTCCCTTTATACTCATGAAGGGTAAGGTTGATCTAATAGGCACACTTCCACCGCATCGCATCCTACATTCTCTCCGGGAACTACTAGTCACCGATCCAAGTTGAGATACCTGTGAATAGCTTGTTACTGACATATTATTTGCTCGGGTTTCTTTTGTTGGTGTAGTGTATGTGCAGTGGGTGTGCGAAGGTTTTGAGGCTCCAAACAAACCGGTGCCCAATTTGTCGACAGCCTGTTGAGAGGCTTTTGGAGATCAAAGTCAGTAATGGGGCAGAGGATTGAAGAGAAAGTAGACTTGTTGCTGGTGCTAATTTTCCTTGTCCCCACATAATTTTCCAATTTCCCCAAATTTTTTAGTTGGCAATAATCAGAGACAGGAAAGCAGTTTTCCTTGAATATAAATGCTAGTTCTTTTATGGAGCTCATTGGCCCAGGAGCATGGCAAGCCAATTAATGATGTATGCTTGTGGGTGTGCTGGGGCACCGTTTTTCTAAGTTATTACCATTTTACATAAAATATGTATAGTATGTTTGGCTTTGGTTTTGGTTTTGGTTTGATTTTGTTGGATGATTAAGAAGCTGTAGTGATTTTGTTTCCTTTCCATTTTTCTTGCCCTGAATAGGTGTTTTTTGTGGTTATCAAGTGTTTTTGTTCATTTTATCTATTCCCAAGTTCGTTCATTCTCCTGTGAAAAAAGATGAGCTAAGCGGCAATGAATACTAGTGTGTATACGCACACAAAGCTGATTCGAGGGGTTAGAAATTGGCTGCTTTGTGGCCTCTGCTTGCTTGCTTGGTGTTGGGATGAATTTGAGTAGTCTGTAACAAGTTGAAGCCAGGAAGGTAGAATAGAATTAGCGAGTTGAGGTGAGTATTGTTGCCGGTAGCTAGTGGGCTTGATGTACCCTGAACTCTGTTCTTTTAGGGCATGTTTGATTGGAAGGATTAAAGTGTGGGATTAGGATTATTAATCCGTGGGCCCAATCATCCTATGTTTGTTTTGACATTTGGTTTAGGACTATTAATCCAATGGATAATTAATCCAACAAATTTGTAGGATAATTAGTAATGGGGTAGGGGTGGGATAGTTAATACCACACTAATTTGATAGGATTATTAATACCTCACTATTAGTATTGTGAATCAAACATGGCCCATTATCCATAATTGAATGCAATTTTTCTATATAGATGTGGAATCCCAGAAAATGTGAAGCGCAACTCATGAGAAGGATTTTTCTAATTTTGTGCTTAATTTTTGTATTCTTCAATTTTTGGCAAACAAAAGTATGCTGAAAATAATGTTAATTTGACCACAGGTCAAGAAAAAAAAAAAAAAAATCATTACAATGATCACATGTCAATGATGAATAGTATTTAACTGGTATGGTTTAGATTTTTAAGATTCACGTTTTAAAAAATTAAAATTTCTTGTTTTTCATATTTTTTATTTTTATTAAATTTTTTTAATATCCTAAATAGTTTTTTTTTTTTAATTTTTAGATACACTTAACATAAATATACTTAAAAAGTATAATATTTGTGAAAAAAAACTTTGGAAAATTCACTAAATACCAAAAATATAAAATAAAGAGAATTCAATATAATTTTTGTATTCTTGTGTATTTATTGTTTTTTTAATTTTTTTTTTTTACAAATATGTTACTTTTTAGATAAATTTAAACAAGATGTATTTAAAGAAGTAAAAAATTACTTAAAATTTTAAAAATATTTACTAAAAATTAAAAAAATATAAAAAATAAATAACTCAATTTTAAAAAAATTAAATTCAAAAAATTAAAACCAAACACGCCGATTATTATTATATTAAAGTTTTATTCCGTATGAAGCAGAGTAACCACATATATGTCTTGTATCTAGTTTGATGATTAGTGATTTTAGCATTTACTGTACTCATAAAAATATGGAATATACCATCTAAATAAATATATTTTGAATATGGATCAAATTATTTTTTTGGAAAATTATACCACTGGCCCTAGAATATCTCTTATGTCAATATAGTCTATGTAATTTCAATTTTATCAATTTTAATTTTTAATTTTTGCCCATTATGTCAATATAATCAATTAATAAATTATACAAAGGGTAAATTATGTTAATAGTTTTTATATTTTTTCTTTATGTCATTTATTGTCTTATAATTTCAAAATTAACTTGATTTTAACCTTATATTTTAAATTTTGTTTCATTTCAGTCCAATCGATAATGTGGTTTATTTTTTGGACAGAATTAGCCCACGTGAATAGCATGTGCCACGTTTGTAAGGTTAATACTGTAAATTTACTTGTAAGTGAGTTATGTCACTAGATTTTTCCATGTCTCATAACTACGTGAGTTAACTCACTCAAATAATAAATAGATTTTATTTTACATTTACACGAAAAGGGCAAAGGAAGGAGGAGGCAAGTCTTGAGAGATACAACGGAGGGTAGGGATGTTCAAAAATCCGTTCAAACCGGTAATCCGGACCGAACCAGACCGAATCATATGGTTTGGTTCGGTTCCATTAAGAATTGATTCGGTTTCGGATTAAGAAATATGAGAACCGTAAAAACGGTTCGGTTAATGGATTTTATGAAAAAATCGCGGTTCGAACCGAACCGAACCGAATTTTAAAAGATATATATATATATATAA